TCTTCAATTAAATGATCCAATCACTCAATCAAACTTCTTCTAATAGGTTTAAACCATTAGATCTAGATTGCCTAACCGTAGTTGATCATTATAATAGATTAGACTCATCAAACACTCCTCGGCCCAATAATTTTTTTATGTTGATTTCAACTGGGATGGTAATCTAATGGGCTCGTCTCATCAAGACTTCAATTCGACTGTAAATTAGCTGAAATCAGAGTTCATATGATTTAGATTTTAATCATAAAAGTTTTCATTCTAAATGCTATCCTGCAATTCATGTTAGATCAGATGATTTTTTTTGATAAGGTATTACATATGATCGAAAAAAATCTTATGAGCAGAAAATAGATAATTTTTTATGTATTAATATAAATTTTTAGATATATTAATTTTCATTGAGAAATATTAAAAAATTTCTCAAATAAATGAGATAATAATTTTTTAAAATTTTTTTATTCATATATAAAAACAAAATCTAAATGATTTTTTTTTTGGGAAAATATAAATGATTTTTTTAATAACATTATTCATTTATTCACCAATTCCAGCCAGCTAAATTTATGGAGATAGTGACGCTCATTATCATGCGCCTGTACGGCGCGGAGGGACCTGCCTTTTTTTAATTGTCCCCTCATAAAAATCATTTTTCATGCTTTTCATTCAAATCTATAATTTAAAATTACATAAATACCGTCTCACTAAATTCACATTTGTATAATCATTGCTTTGATATCAGATAAGCCAGGATGTTGGTGCGTCACAAAACCAGTGTGCTTGGAAGTTAATTGAATTACAAATACATTGAAAATGAACTAAAAAGAAAAATCTAAATGCACTGCTATTTTACTTTGCATTTGCTTTTATTTCAGTCAGACATTAGAAATTTCAAAAATGCTATATTTATTTTATTTTAAATTAGATATACTTGTAAGTCAAATTTACATAGACAATCGGTATAGTTTTAAATTTTGATTTCAAGTGATTTAAAAAATTTTGTCGATTTCGATGGTTTGTTTTAATTGATTTTTATTGTATGATATTATGGTATTATAGCTTGAAAATAAATGAAGATGATTATCTAATTTGATTCAAGTTATAATGACATAAAATATGATTAATCTTAATTACAAAATTCTAACATAATTTGATGATTATTAATAATTTTTAATGAAATTTTAGGGAGATTTACATACAACAATATAATAACATCATCAAGCCTTCATTCTGCTACGTGGGGTTGACTACATAAATTCTTTTTCTCAATTAATTTTGTCCTGTTAAAAATCAAATTCTCGTTTAAATTTAATAAAAAAATATTATTTTTAATATTTTCTAACCTAATTTTTTAGGTCAATTTTTATCTTTCTTAACATAGGTCACATGATACATAAAATTAATCTTTATCATTTTTAATATTTTCTAACCTAGATTTTTTAGGCCTATTTTTATCTTTCTTAACATAGGTCACATGATACATAAAATTAATCTTCTTAAATATTCAATACTTAATTTTACTATTTACTCGTTCTACAAAGAAAATTTTAATAACAATATATATATATATATATATAAATCACACCCAAAACCAAAGACAAAAAAGCTGCACAAGATCATTGAGGTCTAATTTGGAAGCCATTATTTACACATATATAATAATTGCTTAAGATGATTTAGTTTAAGATTTAACATTTCATTAAGGGGGAGAATCTCAAATTTTCATTGAGAAAATAATCTAAATCTTCCATTTTAAATTATTTTTTTTCATTTATTTATTTGTTTCAAAATAAAAATAAGATAGGCATATCTAAGATAATTTTTATTTAAGCTATAAAATATTTTCTGATATAATTTCATATTTTGTTTACTCTTAATATTTATTAGAAATAAATCTTAGTTCTTATTATTATTGTTGTGTCTTGGAATATTTGCGACGGTAGAGAAATATAAAATTTAATGTCTTAGCGTTGTACAAAGATCCTGCACACAATCAAATAAAAAAGAGGGTGCAAAGTTCATAAGAGACACCAAGATTTTTACATGGAAAACCCTGAATAGGGGCAAAACACGGGGACTGGCCCAGTTGGAATGAATCCACTAAGTATTTGCAATTGATTAGAAATGGGAACCTTTATTGGAAGGAAGACCATGACTTTATGTAACAAATATACATCATATAAAGTGTATTACATGGTGGAAATAGGCAGAATCGTTGTTGACGTGTTTGCTTGATCGGAAGGGCTATAGTCGGTGTACGACGGAGGTTGGAAGGATTGTAGTCCGTGGGCGACGTAAGTCGGAAGGATCGTAGTTGGCAAGCGACGGAGGTCATAAAGACAGTTGTCTGGCAACTGATGTTGAATGGACTGTAGTCAGTGGAAACGTAAGTCAGAAGGACTATAGTCGGAGGCGACGGAGGTCATAAATACTATTGTCTGGTGATAGATGTTGGTAGGACTATATTCGGGGGGAAGAGACCCCGCTTCCACAATGCCGTGAATAACTTGAGACGAAGTGAAAGAGGGAGTAAAAGTTAACTGGGTAGAGTCCCACTTAACCCAAATTCTACCAGGAGAAGAGTAAGAGAAATTGTCGCTACATTTTTCATTATCGAAAAGGATACGGGAAGAATAAAACCAAGAATCCTGAGTAGAAGGATGATGAATCTTGGCTTCTAAAATGCAAATAAGTTTTAGGTTAAAGGATGAAATAAGATCTTTACACATCTTGGCTTTTTTAGGGTGATTGAAACCCCTACCGTTCCAAGCCGCCATAGCAGGCAAAGACATGGATTATTTGGATTTTTTGGCCTTCTTGGCCGTTTTTGGCTTTGATTTTTTGGTTGGAGAATTGGAATTTTCAGAAGGTTTGGAAGAGGAGGAAGAAGCTTTGAGAATTGTGGGGGATATAAGGATGACCTCATCAGTTTTAGATGAGGAAGAGATTTCTTCATCTAACGAGTCTTCCTTCGGAGAGTCAGGAATGTCCACCGGGAGAGAAGCAAAACTATTAGCCATAATAACTTGTGAGGGGCGCAAAAGCATGTGTGGTAATGGTTGTTCCGAAGAGGAGGAGTCTGCGTGAGGAAGATTAAGGTTTATAAGTGGAGGATTATTATTCGAAGAAGCTAGAGGCTTGTGAGCTGATTCATGATCTACATTAAGAACAATAGAATCAACAGAAGACAGCTTATCTAAAATGGGTTCCACATTAGGGACAATAAGATTGACAGGTTGCTTAGAAGGAGAAGAGATGGGCACATAAATAGGAGAAGGATTAGAAGATGAATTAACACAAGGATTAGAGGATGAACCAGGTAAACCTGTGATAGGGGCTGGTTGGGAAGTAGCGACAGCTGGTCGGGAGGCAGAGCGAGCGATTCTGTTACCAGGCAATCTGCTTTGACTTCTACCTCTGAAGGCCGGTTTAGGAGGTAGAGATGGCTTGGGATCTGGATTTGATGGGCAAAGAGCGAACGAATGAATGATGGAACCACAGCCTTCACATCTTGTTGGTTTCCAGTCGTAAACCAACTTTAGGACTAAGTCCTCTCCGTCAATTTCCAGAGGAATTTCCTCCGGCAAAACAGAGTTTTTATCCACTTGAACACAGATTCTCGCAAAGGTAAGCCTAATTCGCTTAGCAGTTAATGAATCCACATATAAAGGTATTCCAATATAGTTAGCAATCTTAGAGATACCTGAAGGGGTCTAGAGAGCTAAAGGCAGATTAAGTATTTTGATCCACAGAGGAATCACAGTAGTTTCGTCACGTTTAGGTTGAAATTTGGGCGACCATTTTTTGAGGAAGAACGGCTTACCTAAGAGAAACCAGGGACCACCCGACCAGATCATGTCAAAGTCCTCAACACAAGTGAATTTCAATAGGAAGAAATCATCAGCTAGCGAAAGAAGAGAAAACGATCCTTTAAGTTTCCAAGCTTTTGACATCGCAGCAATTAACCGCTCATAATAAGGCCTTTGCCCTAAAGAGTATCCAACAAGGGAAAGTTCCCACAACCCTTTCCCTTCAGAGAGCTCATTAGCCGCAAAAGAAAGTTTTTTGGTCGGATTGACGAAAGACATCGGTCACTCATCCCTAGCCGACGGAGGAGCAGAAAGATTACTTGCATAGGAAATGATAGGAGGAAGAGGAGGAGCGGCCCCAAGAATAGAAGAGCTACCCGGGAGTGGGGGAAAATCTAAAGGTTAGCAGCCATCACGGCCAGGCGGCTGGGAAGAGAACACAATCACGCCAAACCCTAAACCAAGAGCTTCTCTTCACAGGCTGTCACGGAATGCAAAATGTGATGATAAACTCGATTTCCATCAACTATTTCTACCCCCATATTGGTCATAACTACAAGAAACCAAGCAATTACTTACAATTTTATATTCAAAGTTCCTCCCTTATAGAAAGTAGTGAACTTCTGCATCTTCAAATACATGAAAGGGAGAGAGCTCACAATTTTCTAATCATGCATTCTTTATACGAAGGAGAAGACTCGAGTTAGAAGAAATCGTAGAGATCTATTGAACTCTCAGTGCTTTTCCTGGCCTTCGATGTTGACGCTGGTCCAACTATTATCACTCGATTGCCATCACCACTCTTATATATTGGGTTTTCATATAAAACTTGGATTTAGACTATTTTCTATGTTCCTCTTTATTTTTAGGCGTTCAATAAATATATAAATTTAAAAATTAAAATTATTTGACATTATATATAAGAGCTCCTAAATAATTTTAAAAAAATCTTATCTTATTCTAAAATATATTTTATTGATCTGCACGTCAACATTGGTTTTGCCATCAAGGGCCCAATAGACGAACGTTGCCTTCCACATAAATCCTCTGCTGAGAAGTCACAACCCGAACACCCCCGGAGCCATAAAAAGGTTCGAGCTTTGCCTTACACGTGTCGCCATGAAACTCCCTTTCTTCTGAGCTGAACAAGCCTTCCATCCCATTTAACCATTTGCGCATTCTCGCCTTTACCAATCCATCACGTGACCGCGGGGAAGAATAATAGAAAGCCCACCACCAGTAAAGCAGGGGAAGAGAGTGAGACAGCAGACAGAGATAGAAGTAGAGAGAGAAAGGGATAAGATGCCAGTGAAGGCCATTCGAGAGATCGAATAAGTGGGGAGCTTCGAGAGGGAAGAGAGAGGGAAGAGAGAGGGAGAGGCTAGGTTCACCTTGGTGTTGAGAGGTTCAGAGCTTTTGCTTTTAACAACAGCAGAAGGGACCAGGCAGGTTGCAGGAGAAGCAGAAACCGCAGCAGCAGCTAGCGGCAGTAGAAGCAGCGGGCGCAGTGACAGCAGAAAAAAGAAAGAAAAAAACTGCTTGGAAGACCAGTAGAGAGAGAGAGCGCCAAAGTTAGTGGGAGAAATAGAAAGAAACCAACTTAAGGAAAAAACAGGTCGCAAGGGATCGAAAAAACAACAATCAGAAAGAATTTCAGAGTCCCCACCCCTCTCCACCTCTCTCACAGACTTTCACCCGCTTAAAAAAAATCATTTTTTCCCGACCAGAAACCTCTTTTTTTCTGCATTTTCATCTACAGAGCTGTAGTCATTGACAGACAATTATAGGTTTTGAGTGAGAGAAGAGTGAGTATATAAGAAGTCGTAGTGGCTTCTGGAAGGCGATTTCCTTCCGACACCGGAGCATTTGCGGATTGGGTTGCTTCCTCCTCCACGGCCAGAGCCGACGATCTTTCGCTAGGATTTAATGCCGGCGGCGGCGCTGCGGCCGCCGCCGGATTTTGGGCGCCAAGCTCGTCTGGCTCTGGCCGCCACCAACTTAACTATGGAATCGCTGACATGGGCATGGTCGGCCTACGAGATGTCTTCGTCGTTGCTCCAGCGGTGCCGCCGTCACATAACGAATCTATGCTTTGCTCCGGCGAGCACCCTATCATTCCTCTCCTCGCCGCCGCTCCCTGTCTGGCCCAACCCCCACACAACCAAAACCCTAACCCTAATTCCTCCGGCATCCTCTCAGTCGCCAGCGGCTCCTCCACTTGCCAGGACTGCGGCAACCAAGCCAAAAAGGATTGCACACACAGGCGATGCAGAACGTGCTGTAAAAGCCGCGGCTTTGATTGCTCCACGCACATAAAAAGCACGTGGGTCCCCGCAGCTCGCCGCCGTGAACGCCAGCTCACCGGCACTGCCACCGCCGCCGCCTTCGCCGGATCTTCCACCTCCACATCCGCCCCCAAAAAACCTCGCCTTATCTCCTCCCAAACCACCACCACTTCCCACACTTCCACTTCCAACACCCCACCTCGCAGCTTTGATACCAGCTCTAGCCACCAAGGTAAGACCTTTCACCCCTCTCCCCTTTCTTTATTCCTCGCTCTGTTATCCCCACGTAACCAAATTTGGAATTCTTCGCAGAAGCCTGCTTCCGCGAGAATCTGCCTGGCCACGTACGAGCTCCGGCAGTGTTCAAGTGCGTGAGAGTAACATCTGTCGACGACGGGGAAGACGAGTACGCATACCAAGCGGTTGTGAACATTGGCGGGCATGTATTCAAGGGCTTTCTGTATGACCAAGGTGTCGACGACGGGCGCGGTGAACTCACCGAAACTTCTCCCATGACCGGCGGGAATAACAATAACGCTGTTCCCAACATATCGGAGCTTCATCTCGGTGCTGGTCGGAGCGGCGGCGCGTCATCGTCCTCCCCTATGCTTCCCTCGGATGTCTATGGTGGCGGCGCCGGGGTAATGCTCGGCGGTGCAACTTATGGTAATACAATAAACTGAGCTTTAGCTTCATCAAGAATACTTTTCTCTCTTCTCACTGTTCTACATTCTCCTTCTTCGGCTTACTATTTATCTGCTGTATTACCTTCTGAAATGCAAGGCGGACAATCCAAACTTTTTATATTATTATTATTGTTGTCGTTGTGTTTGTTGTATACTGATAATTAAATGACTTCTTTTAGCTACCACTGCCTGCTACCATTATTTCAGTCGATAAAACTGCTCTCTTTTTCAAAGTGGAGAACGCAAGATCGCTACTTTGCGTCTCAATATTGCTGTATACCGATAAACAGTCTTCCTGGATCGCCGTGCTTATTTTTTCTTCTCCCACATCAGTTTTTAAAGCCAATCTCTTCTCCGTCTATAAAACTATCTCCTGCCATTTACGATCTGCTATTAAATGCGAAGTGACCAACGCAAGATTTAAACTTTTCGTCTCGATATTGTTGTATATTGATAAATGACTTTGCTTTTGCTGCCGCTGCTTAATTATTTTTCTTGTCGTACTACTTCAAGCTTATCTTTTCGATATAACTACCCTCTTCATAGATCTTGCTGTTCTGAAAGCTGTACTTTTCTATATTGATTCTTTGATTTTCATATCTAGGATGAATGGTAGGATGTGAGGTGCATTTCAGAACTCTGCACTGTTCATTCACGGAAGTATCTTTTTTAATAATTTTTTAGCTAATCGAATGGTGGTTGAGAGATTTTGTCTCCAAACTAAACTAATAGAGAAGAATTGAAAGCATAATTTGCTATAAATTAATAGAATATTAAGCTGATGGCAAAGCTTAACAACCACCCCGGCAGTACTTCCATTCTACGCTTCCTTCTCCATGTGATATAGGCCATTTTCTTTTTGACTGATGGGCAGCCTCTTTTGAATGTTGCTGTAAGAGTTATCTTTGTATATCTTTTCAACCTTAGGTCTTGTCTGCGCTGTACAACATGACATGACATTGGAACTTGTTTCCATTGACCCTTTTATGTAGCAAAAGAGTAAGGAGTACATGTGGTAGATAAGTGTTCTTTCTTATTTAATTCAGTTGGAATTATTGTTGCCAGCTTTATTTTGTTGAGCATTATGCTTGCATTGTAGTTTATAAATGGAATGGTGGATCATCTCTTGCTTTGACATTATTACTGTTTTTAGCTATTCTTTTTACTGTTTTTGTTTATTTCCTTTTCTTGTTTTTGCTTAGTTTTAATTCCCATCCATTTTAAGGAGTTTTGCAGTTCAAAAGATTGTGTTGTCTTATTTTTGTTGTTGGGATGGTCTGTTTATGGATACCTTGCTTTTGGAAGGATTATGATGGTTTGCAAGTTGATGTGGATATTATGAGCATGCTGTATTATTGTAGCTTTTTTTTCCTCTATTTTTTAGGGAGCTCAAGCATGCTATCTTACACACGAAAAATTATTCTTTTCGGACCCGGATGGCGTTCGGAGACCAACCAGAACGTGACACATCACTTTTTTGCTCGCTCGGTACTGGGTGACGTGGCACATTCTGGTTGGTCTCCGGACTGCCCGGTGTCCGCACATAATAATTTCTCGTCACACACAACCTTGTTGATATTCGAGCTTGCGACATGTGGCTAAAATAGTTGGATTGAGACTATTGATGATCATTATATGATAAATCTAGTTACTAATTTTTATCAATTTCTTTAATGTCATCATTTATGTGTTTTTATTTTTTTTTTTCTGATCTTTTTTCCCCTCTTGCAAGAGTGATTGTTTTTAGAGTAGCTACAAGGTCTTTTTACTTCGAGCTCTCTTCTTATGAAGCGCTGTGCCTATTTTATTTTCTTTTTTTTTTATAGTTTTTTATATTATTATAATTCCAATTGGGTCTATTATGATGATATGAATCTGAACTTGGGATATGTAATTCACTTAGTGCGCTTGAAATAGGCAAAATGAATGGAGCCTATAGACTTTGATTTTACATATTGTCTTGTTCTGCTTTATGATATGCATTGTTTGCATAGTTTGGAACTTTGATTTATGCGTTGATATGCAAGAGATTAATGTGTTCAAATGTTTTTCTTTTTAATTTTACCGACAATGGAGAAAAAGGATTCATGTAGCCGACCCCACGTAGTGGGATAAAGGCTTGATGTTGTTGTTGTATTTATATATTATTTTTTTTTTTATTTTGCTATCCTCAAATCTACTGAATCATTTTTGCATTTACTTATGCTATGCGCATCTCAAGCACCTTTTGGCTTGTGCTTGACGTTAACTTAGGGGCATATATTCTTTCAATGTCTTAATAAATGTTTTTACTGTGCTTGACTTTATATCCAAGTAAAATGTTTATTCTAATGAAACATTTATAAGTGGTATATTGGTTGCCAAATGAATCTAATTTAGTTCATCTTTCGTATAATATTAATTATGATATTAATTCATAGATTTGTTTTTTAGTTCAAGTTTTCATAGTCTGGAGGTTAACTTAACTTTTATGTTTTAATTTTCTTGTTTGCTTGCTTCAACCTTTCTTATTGATATATTCTTGACTTGTACATTTAATTGAAATCTTTGAAAAGATAATCACTAGGAGGGTTAGAATTATCCTATTTTGATTGGGGAGTTACATAGATGAATGCATCATGATAAAATAATAATAATAAAGAAAGAAAATCATAAGTTATTGAGATATTGCATTCCTTATAATTTATCTAAGCTTTCGGTGGTTTGTGTTAATCTTCTTAGGTCTTCAAGATTAAAAAAAGGCATGTAGTACACGATGGAACACTATTATAAGACTACCTTTTGATATCTTTGATTTTTAAATTTTTGTTCTTTTCATTGTTGTACCTTTAATGTTTGTATTGGGCTTCTATATAATGAGTGTAGGGATTAAGGTGTTAAATGAGTGGGCGCCACATAATGCAACTCAAATTTAGGTGTGCAAAGCTTCTATAATTTACATATTTGTAGGATGATTTAAGGGTGAAGCTTTAATATTTATATCGAGCTTTTTCTTAAATCTAAGGGGGGAAGAGCCATCTATTATCCCCTCTCCAATTCAATCATTGGATATAAGTGCTTCGTCATTTATGGATAATTAACAATTATATTTGATTTTAATATTTCAAATTTTTTAGAATTTACTATGGGTCTTAAAGTTATTGAAGTATGTGAGGATTCTTTCCCTTATTCTTTTCAACTCAAGCTGTTTAGTTAGACTCAAAGCTCTTGGTTGCATAGAACCTAACAAATTCGATTAGTGATCTATTTGATGCAATTGTCGGGTGTACTTGCAACCAACCTAATTGTTAGATGCTTGTTTTTGTCGGAGCGGAGTGATTTATTAGCTAATGACATCTTTATAGTGCATTCTGAATACTTGGGTAATACAACAATTAAAGTGACTATGATGAGATTTAAGGAATAATTTTGGTGGGGGGTTCATTTTTTATTGTGGGATTATAAATGATGAATAATGATCGCTTTGTTGTCTTTTATCTTTGCTATGCAATATGAGAAATTGTACAAAGCAATCAACTTACCATTTAGAAGGTTTTTATGTTCTTGCAAAAGCATATGTCAATGAAGAATATATGGTAACCTTGCAAAGTTAGTTGACATAAAAATTAATATATCAATTATGGAATAATAAAGGTGTTAATGAATATGTGATAAGATAATATCTTGTAGATAATTAAATTTTATTAAAATATATCTTAATTTATTATGCTATATGAATATAAGTGTTGAGCAATAAAAGGTTGTCGTAGCGAAGTCGATTGTTGAAAATTTAAGAGTTTTAATGATTTGCGTATGTCATAACTTTTATCAATAGAGTTTGAAGTGTTATATATGTTAAAAAAAATAAATTATTATTGGACAAACTTATTAATAAGAGTTTTAATTCAAGTTACAGGTTGAGTGTGGGATTGACTCCAAATAATCCAACATAATTTTATTAAATATAAACCCAACCTTGTTTAAAACTTAAATGCATCTTGAACAAAATTGACTAATATAAAAAATATTTTCAAGTTTAACGGTTTAGTTTCAACCTGATCCAAAATGAGTATATTTATCAAATTTGTACCTGTTTACATGAAAATGCTGACAAAAATTATAATCTAAAGGGTTTTCTTGAAAAGTTATATAAAAAATTAATTTGTTAAATTGTTTTTGTGAGCTAAATCTAAAATCAAAACATTCGGTGTGCTTACTTTTTTTTTTTAAGTCACTTAAGTTAAATTTACCCTACACGGGTTGACTCAAACGTCAGAGTTTTGTGGCTGATCTAAGTTAGGTTTTTGTGCTAGGTCCAATGTTAACAATTTTATTTGCAATGGTTTGACGACATGCTAATGCCATGGATAAATTAAGGCTTTGTTTGAGACGATTTTTTATTGTTTTTTAAAACATAGTTTTAGTTAAAAAATTAAAATTTTTGTACTAAACTCTATTTTAAGAAGCAATAAAAAGTCATCCCTAACGAAGCCTAAATTTATGTGGTATTGTTAGCAAGAATAAGTTAATACTAAAATTAACATGTCTACAAGTTGTTCACACAAATTTTTTCGAAATATAATTAGCTCCTTTACTAACTTTAATTGTTTATTGTAAAGTTAGATGTTAATGTAACAACAAATTGTAATGAAGCATAAAAATTTATTAAATCAACCTGAAATATTTGGATAAGGTTAAAATAATGATGTTGCTTGAATTAATTATTGTAATTATTTTGCTTAAATTTAATTAATTTATTAATTTATCTAACTAATTATTGAGTTTGAGCTTGTTGTTTTAACCTTGTGTTTAGTTATGCCATAGATATGATTTAATAAGTCTAGTTCATGCTTGAATCATGGGGATTGATTAGTCATTTATTAGATAAATTAGTTACAAGGGATTTAGTTGATAATTTTTTTTTGGTTAAAATCTTCGGAGGGGCCTACACGTTAATTTCAAAAAAAGAGGTTACAAGGTCCGTAGAAGGAACCTCCAGCTCGCTAATGCTCAAAAGAGCTATAAGAGAAAGCAAAATAAAATCTAAGAGCCAGTGATTCCTTTTAATATAAATTACAAAAAACCTAAGCACATTTTAGGGCTGCAAGTTGACAGTACCCAAAAAAGGAAGAGTAGAATGATATCATTCAGCACAGTCTTCCTGCAAAAAGAATAAGCAAACCTCAAATAGCTCTGAAAAGTA